GAGGGTGACTATAAGCTGGTGAATAAATGATCGTATATATACAATTAATGGCCCGGATTATATAAGAAGGGATAAAATCAACGGAAGATTTATGTCAAATTATACGTTGAGAGAAGAAAGTTTAAAAAGTTTCTACTACTTCAATATTATCGTGACTTAAGTAAATAATAATTTACATACCCGGACGAAGGATACATTATAATTTATTGTTTTAGTTGGTAATACTTATTAATAATAATATCAGTAATCCGCAAATAAATGCATTATATAATTATATGCAGTATCAGTGAACGAAAAGTTGTGATTTCAATATTAAATATTCAGGGTTCAGGACTTTTAGAACTTAGATACAAAAAATCGCTAAAGAAACTCGAAAAAACTTTAACATAGCACTTCAAAAATATTTAAAAAAGGAAACAAAAATCCCAAGAAGGTTAAAAATTCCCTCCTTTAACAGCTCTCTAACTTGTTAAAAATAATTTTCTTGCACCACAATAATGTGATTTTATAGTTTAAAGTCGTTAGTGAGGGGGTATTTAAGCCTCTCTACAATTCCGATATTTTAAATCTGTTTAAAAGGTTGTTTTTTGATGGTTTTAAGTGTTTTATTTATTTTTTGATTTTAAACGTTAAAAGTCCGAAGTCCCGATGATAATAATATGATGTCAAACGGGAAAACATTAACAAATTTATTGAACTTAACAAAAATACGTCTTGTAATATTTTCATTAGAATTCAGATGTTGTTGAACATATCGTATTTTTGCCCCTATCGGTCCAGCTATAAATTATTAATTAAGCCAAAATTAGTTTCTTAGACAGTTTGTTTATATATTCAATATTGAGTCGTTTTGGTAGTTATTTTTTTTGTAGGACTATCGGTGCTTTTTTGATTTATTTTAAATGTGGTACGTAAATCGTAATCAAAGTGATCTACACGTGTTTTAACGATTATGCACCGATTAACGGAATGCTCGATTATCAAACCGGCATATTAATTGTTATCGCGACATAACAAAACAAAAACATGTAAACGTATATTATGAAATAAATGTTTTTGTTTTTATCGATTTATCGGTAAAAATTGAAAAAATATAATATTTTAAACGATAAATCACGTGAATAACAACTGCAATTGTTTTTCCGAATTGTAATAATTATAATAATTTTAATCGGATACACAATAATTAATAGTTTTTACCGAGATAAAGGTGCACACTAAACGTTGACGTCGCCGACGGATTCTTTATTCTAACGTAAATATTAATATCCGCGTATACATTATGCGGTTGTTTTAATTCCATTTCGTTTGGGCGGTTTACTGCAGCGATAGTGTAGTAGGTACCGCAAAGATACATAAAAACAAAAAAAAATGAAATTTCAATTTGGCCCACCGCCAATGAATTTTGCAGTGTATTCATCTACAAAAGTGCAGTTAGTTCCGAGTACCAATCTAAATATTCAAGTACGCTTTTATCATATTATATAAATGCACTGCGTGACTCGGATAAAACTTAAAACAGTTATTTGGATTTGACCCAGTTAAATTTCTTATTGTTATTTTTATACTTCGTGTACTAATACGAAACACGGTCGATTCTAATCACGGTAGGAAAAACTGTTTTCGCGTGTAAAAAAAAATGTTTGAAAAGTATTCTTAATGTGATTTATTACGTATTCCGACGATGGTTTTCTCAAGACGGACGGAACATACAAAAAACGATTTAATGGATTTTGAAATAAATATATATTCGCCTTTTTATTAGCTTTATTGGTGGTTTCAAAAATTAAACGAACATTTGACGTACATGTATTTTGTGCTACAGCTAGAAAAAGGTACGTATAGGTTAAAGTGTAAAATATGCAAAATATTTGTTCATGAGTAGCGTAAAATCAGTAAAAATGCCGAGAATCTCACAAACACGATCAATATCCGCCCGTGGTTACATCAGGTGAGAAGCCAATAACCATTAAAATTCTCTAAGAGTTTTCTCTTTCGCTAAAACAATACTTCGCCGTATATTCCTGACTTTGGACCACGTTTCTCAAGGTTTTCACTTCCGGTTTTTTTTTTTTGGAACCTCGTCGCGACCTTCCATCCATATTTTGTTGGGTCTACCGTGGTTCTCTCCTTTTCTCATTGTACGCCGACCTATAACTATTGTAGTAATTTTCGTTTAATAAAGACAGCACCCAATCTATGACGTAGTAACGCCATGAATACAGCTGTTGCATTATAAGCATCGGTTTCCTTTCTGTCTGGCGGATCGTTAGCCGTGCCTCAAAGCCACACGAAATAAGGTTTTCTGTCTCTATGATCGATACATACAAACCTTACTCGAGTATTTCTAGAGCGTATAGTTCCTATTTAAAATACTTTGTCCAACGAACTTATCGGCTTTATATTTTAATATACGAACGGCCATTTAACTGGCCATTTTTAGTGTGCTAAACGTTTCGCCTTGATACTATTCAATCTTCGTCTGTTTCACACATTTTTCACATCTATCTGATCTTATTTGTAATAATACAAGACATATATAGGTAAGTATTGAAATAAATGTACACACTCCGTAAAATAACAATTATCGAAACCTATAAATATCGCATCGTGTTAAATATAAAAAATTGTTAATAAAAATCATTTTTTTTTTTTTTATAGCCTTATAGGTACATCGATGATTTACGTATTTTAATACCCTATAAATTAATGGTTGTAAAAAAAAAAAAAATAATAAAAAAACAAACGATAAATTATGTTTTAATAATTTAATCCGCTTTTATATACCTAATCATTACATATACATATATGCACATGAATTATAGATAAATTATTGTTTTCAGCGGTATCTATATTCCGTTGTCCGTAGTAATAATATTAATATGATTAAGCTGGACGTGTTTCCCGTTTGATCCTTTGTGTTTGTGTCCCCGTATTATAATAATATACACGGTCGAACATCGAACAACTTTGTTCGCGTTCACTCGGACTGTTTGAATTATTTCCAACGTGTGCGACCCGTGCCCGAGCTTAATTGCCTACGGAAAAAAAAAAAATAATAATAATAAAACGAAATACGTTCCTCGCACGGAAATCGTATTGTTCCGAAGCGTACGAACACCGTGGTAATAAATGGAGAGAACAAAAACCGAATAGGACGAAAATAATATGCACACAGGTATACAGAGATTAAACGGAGTTTATACAGAGCGTTTCAAACGCATACGCACTGTGACGTTGTTACGAACTACGATTTTCCGAACCTTTTGACCGAATTTGAGCCGTTTCGATCGACTGAATAAGAACTGAAAGAAAAAAAAAAAATGGAAAATACCAAATACCTAATAAATAGCTACCAAAAACACCAGGAATGTTTTGAATATTTTATAGCAAGTCTATAAAATGCTATTATTAAAGTATTTCGTTTCAAGTTTCTACTACGATTATATTCTTTTGCCGAATCGCAAAAAAAAAAAGACGGATATACTACGCATGTGGGTAGGCCACTAATTGAAAAATTAAGAAGGTAGTGGAGAGGATATACAATGTATATCTCTGTACGCAACAAATGAACATTGCCAACGAAAAAACATTTTTGGTCAGTATTCGGTTGATAGTGTGGCTTTTTCAACAATATATATATATATATATTTAAATTAGAGCTTGTAAATTAGAGCGAAATTTCTGGTAGAAAAGTTATTTACAAAAAAAATAAAACAAACATCATTGTAAAACCAATACATCCTTCGCTTCTCTCAGAATCTAAAATATATCGTACCTAATGAGTGCACTACTCGCTTAGCCCAGAATTCAACAGACAAGTTTTATTTAACAATTACAGGTTTTAGATAGAAATATTTAGGTATTGGCGTTCGTTACTTACACATTTATAAATTTCGTCTATTTAATATCCCACGTTAAAAGAAATAAAAGTACCCGTTTATCACCCGATTTGAAATATACTCGTCAGTAATATTTATTTATGTTAACAAAATAAACAAAATAATCATAATAAAGACTATGATTGCCAAATAAAAAATCGATAGAAATCAGAAAAAAATACATACAATTTAATATGATGAATGAAAAAAAAAAAAAATGTATAATAATCTAATCATTTTAGAACGTATAAAATGATCGAGGAAACTGGAAAAGTGCAAAATAAAAGTGTGACCAAATTGAATTGTATTTTCACACGCAATTGAATCGTGACGGTTCGCTTATGTTTGTACGCGGAAGATATTTTTCTTACAACGGGGAAAAAAAAAAGAGGGGGAATGGCTTTTGATGCAAATTCAATTCGCAGTCTCGAATCGTAGGAAAATAGAAAACCAATATAGCTATTCAAATTCAATTATTATATTAGTGCTTATGTTATCCGTGATCAACGTGCTATAAAAAAAACTTTTTTTTTTATACAATTTATCAACCGGCCGAAGATCATAATCGAGTTTGTGAATCAATACATTTCTCAAAACTACAATTTTTTTTTACGATATCGGGAGTTTCCGAAATTATCTTTTACCTTGGCAAATCTATGTAAGTACTACTCTTTTGAACTTGTTCAAATGAGCACACAAAACGAAAATGTCTCTTCAAAATACATTTCTTGAAAAAATACCTTTACGTCACGATTTCGAAAATAAGTGGTTTGCAATTCTATTCGATTTCGTATTTATTTTAAAAATGTCTGTGTCATCAATTATAATCCGAAATCCGAAATTTTATATTTTTGAACTTTTCTAAAATAAAAAAGATATCTAAATCCGTTGTTTTTAAAAATGTATCATACACCAATTCTTGTACCGTAATTCAAAAACCAACCATATTTATAGATATGCATTTAATATATATATATATATATATAAAATTAATTTTCTGATTATAAAGAAATTAGGATTTGTTGAACATTCGATGAGTGTTCGGAATATTATCACTGCTATAATAGGTATATCCGCTGACGAGTGGACCGTCGATAAAACCATAATTAACTAGATACTCGTCAAAAACGGTAAAAAACTTCTTAGTTTTAATCTCATTTTAGACGACCTCACGCTAATTTGAGTTTGTAAAAATAAATTAAATACCATTTTAGTTGTGTGCAAAACGGAGTATATTCTAACGGAATCGCAATTCGCGACCGAAATCTGAACAGCCAGCGTTGGAATAATAATATATACCTGTATACCTAACCGATTATTATCGAAAATTTTCGGACGACTTATCTTTCTATCTACATCATACAGCGTTCTCCGTTGTAAGTTTTTCTCTATAATGTTGGCCGTTTTTTTTTTCGGATTATTGATTCTTGATCTCTTAACTCAGTTAACTTTTATTCACCATTTAACGCGGTCATTTAACTTATTCTAGTTTCCATATGCTAGAACACTTTACTTTGTTAGTGGCGAAATTATAATAGGAAAAAAATTGATCCCTTTTCTCAATTATTTCGAAAACCCTTTGGAAAATCAAAAAATGAACGCTCCAGTGCATCAACGAGAGAAAATTGTCTCTCAGAAAAGGTGTTATTGTCTATACTTCGAAGCAAGTTTTCAGGTAAAAAAGTTGTTCAGAGACACAAAAAAAATAAAACACATCAAAGTATAGTTTTACTATACGCTCCAAATCAAAAATGGAATATGTTTATCTTTATTATTTCTGGAAATAATGGATATATCTCCATGGGACACCTGTATACTTTCAACTTTTCTTCTAAACAGTAGCTCACTAATCACCATTATCAGCTCTTTTTTATTTCGTTCACTTTTCAAATGATCATCGAACGAATTCGTGCCGTCGTGAGGAATATTTAAAGTTGTATACATTTAGCCATGGATATTTCGACTGTAACGGGTATTAGGAAGGGGTCTATTTTACGTCCTTATAAATTATAACCTTCGAAGTCGAAGTACCGTCCGAATAGTGTACATGTTATTAAATTGATGTCGTTATTACCCAATCGATCTTTGTGCAGCAGTCTGTTTCCTTATTCGAGATGATAATAATAATATATTATTAATACTATTAGATACGATTGACGTCTGTAATGTTTTGCGTGGGCCTGAGTTAAAGGGCCAAGAAAGCGGCGTGGCGGTGGTTGTGATATGAATACGCAAAACGCGGCGGATAAGACCGGAGTGAAATGACGAGATAAAAGGGTCAAAAGGGTCGTTCGAATTGTCTATGATGACCTCGTGCAGTGAAATTTAAACAAACCATTGGCGTAGGTATAAATGGACAAGACATATCCATCGGACCTTTGATAGAAAAATTGAAATAGAGAACAGGAACGAAAAGCGCAGTCGTATTCGAGAAACTGTAGCGCGCATTCTGAAAAACCCCGAACTTCTTTAGAACAAAACTGCAAAGGTTTTCCGATTATTTTTATTGAGAATATTATGAAACAGTACGAAAACACGTTAAAGTTAGAGCCTACCGGCATAATTAATAAGAAGATAAAAAATTACTTAAAAAATAATAATAATAATAATAAAACCGCTCGGAGAAGTATTATTAGAGAAGTTTTTCTCTGCTTTGTTTCTGTTACCGCGCGGAACATTGGTGAAGTTTTGCGTCTAAAACTGAATAAGTCTGAAATTACAAAAACCTTACTATTCGATTACTTTAAATAAATCAGCAGTAATGTACTTTCTTCAATGCAATACGATTCTACAGCTGGTAAATTTGCATTTTATCCAATTTTTAATTTTTTTATAAAACCGTGGAATAAATCTTTATACAGTCGCAATATGCAAATACATCGAACAAACGTAACAATAATTGTATAATTCATAAATAAACTAAAATTATTTAACCCTTGTTTTACGGGGTAAAATATGGCTTTATTTTATGACGCCGCCGTAGAAAATATTGTCTTTAATTTATTATTAGTGATGGTATCCCACAGTATTTTAAGTATTCATATGTAAATATTATATTTCAAAGGTCTCGTATATACTCGTACATGCATTAATAATAAATACATAAATATGATAATATAAAGTACGTGTAATATTTGTAACAACAATTTTATTATTGTTGAAACGATGAAATATCGCGTTTTTTCTTAATATATGAACTATTTTTCAACAAAAACAATGTTTATTGCACATTTTGAATCTAATGTAGAATCTATTATTTGGTTTTGTTAAGGAGTGTGCGTGTGTTTTTTTTCACGAAAACACTTTTTTCGGTTAATGAAAATACTCCGAATCGTTCTCGGTGCGCCATAGAAAATGCGAATTTTTCATCCCGTGGAACTATATTAAAACATTTGTTTTTTGATTCCTGTGAATGGATTTTCTGCAAAATTAAAATATAAAAAAAAATGGAGATACGTCAGTTTTTTTTTTCCTGTTCGACTTATAAAAATTACGACTAAAGCTATACATGCATTTTACCGAGCTTGCAGTACCTATATAAACTTAATTACCCTAGTTATAACCAATACCTTTTCAACTTCTCACCCAAAACCACGGCATACAACCACAGTGCGAATTATGTCCATTATTTTTTTCAAATTAATTTTCAAAAACCTAGCATGTTTTTTCCTTTCCCTCGGCGAAAACCGCGATATTGACAGCATATGACGTTTAAACCGAAGATGATCAACAAATTAAACTGGTTTTTCCCTTCCCCTCTCAAAAAAAGATGAAAAACAACCGATCGTCTGACTCGTGACGGAAAAGAGGCGATCGAAACAGAGTACACTTGTTTGTCCCTTACAAAACTTCTAGGTGAAATTTACGATTACGATTTACGACCGCAAAGAAAACTATTTCTTAGCTAGTCCGTTTATTTTCGTCGCATCTGAGTGTGGTACTCTGTGTGACGGCGAAGAGGTCCTTCGAACCATCCAAAGTGTTTTTATACAGTAAAATTTACGGTTTCCTTAAAGGAAACAGCTTCGAAACGATTATAATGTTACACGTGTTTGTTGAAAATTGAATTCCATCGTTTATACTTTTGTTTTCCACGAAAAAATAAATCTTAGCTGTAGGACGTTATTCTCCATATAACTGCGTATGTTTGCCGTACTTGGCGAATCCGTAACTGGAAAGAACATTTGTAATGGCGTTTTTTACCTACTATCACCGCATCTGCAGCAGTTAACAAAAACTTCATATGCAGATACAACAGAAGCCGCTTATTAGATAAACGGATAAATGATACAATCGCGTAACTGAAACAAAATGTAAAGGAACGGACCTGTTGTATATTAAAACGTTGAAAATCAAACGGACTATTGAAACAACTCGTCGGTTATTTGAAACAATTGGGCATAAGTTTTTTAAGTTTTAAGAAATTCGGTTATTTGGCGATAACCAATGAAATTAATTCCACTTGTGCAATTATAATTCCTTTTATTTTTATTGTTTTTTATCGTAAGTACAGTACCTACGCTATGCTCTTTACTGATACTGTTTATCCAGCTTCGATGTGCGTGTATAGTTGTTTGATCTAACAGAAATTTAACAAGAAGTTGTCTCCCACTAAAAATTGCACTTAGTGAAACGATAAAAAAACCTCTCCTCGGATAATGGGGATGGGTGCAGCCACTGCTATAGGTAATTTAATGTACATTTGTAATAAGCATCGATTAACCATTGCTATCGACAAAACGATTCTGAACGGAGTTCGGTTGATAGTGTTCCTTGTTCAATAATATATATATGTCATATTATGGTAAAATAATTGCATATGCATTATATATTTTCTTTAAAAATATTTGTTTAATATTGCACATTGTATTTTCCCTTTATTCCCGTTATTTTCAATTTATTGGGAAAACTTCTAAGAAAATCAAAAAATGACCTCTTTAAAGTACCTTTCTAGTCAGATTTTCTTTTAAAAAAAAAAAATTATAATATTGGAAATCGCAGTAAAATTGCTGGTATAAAAGTTATCTATAGAAAAAAAAATTAAAAAAATAAAAATCATTGTAAAATCAGTACATTCCTCGCTTCGCACAGAATCTAAAATATGAACACATTCATGTTAAGTACAATACGTATATAATTAGTACACAAAGTCAAATAATTCCAAAACAGAAATCGAACTATACTGATAATTTATTTTACTCTAGCTTCCCAGATAGCAAAAATATATATTATTAAGTTTTATAAAATATTATTTTTATAATGAAATGATTTATAAAATATTGTATTTTTTCATATTTTTCTTTTAAATGATATTTATAAAACAAAACGTTTGGCAACGAGATTTTTGTTTATTAATTATTTTAAAAATTATATTAACTTCTTTTTAATAAGAAATATATACAGGGGGAGGGTTCAACCCCCCCTTCCGAAAATTAATAGTTGTGCAATTTATTGATATGAATTTAATATTTTTTTTATAAATATTGGTTATTGTACATTTTTTTTGAACCCCCGAATTTTTTTTTGTGTACGTGCCTGTACCTATCTATACACTGATATCTCAAAATTACTGCTTTTTTGGCAACAGGAACTTAGACTTTCTCTGAATAGTGCACACTAGTGCCAGGTGGAAGGCAGAGGGGGTGGTGAAGGCGTGTTCCTTTTTTTTGTTTATTGATTATTTCAGTGTATTTTATCGTTCAACAAAATATGGTAACTTATATAAAAAAAATGAGTGCTTCCCCCTAAAACAAAAAATAAAAATTGGCTTCGGTACTAAATATTAAAACGTAATGACCAAATACAATAGTAATACAAATTTAATTTAACTTCCAACTTTACATAACAAATTATATGTTTTTGGTTTATGTTATTTTATGCATCTAGATGATAAGTAAATCTCGGTCGACCCGTACTCTTGGGGTACTTTTATTCGTAATAATTTTCGTTTGTTTTTAACAAATTTTTCCAATTTGGCGATTTCTGAGATATCAATCGGCCGTCAGTAACGGTTGGGTCTATACTCGGAAAACGCTAAATTTGCTATTATTATGTAAATTGTTTATGCAGTTGCTGGCATATATTGGGACGATCCCGATAAAAAACTGCTATGTTCCAACGTAAAAAAATGTATATCTATACTATTATATATTATTATCATGTATACGGTAGAATACCATATTGATATATAGAATCATTTTGTAATCGTATTATAGTTATTGAGATTTTAACAATATTATGATCATGTATTCAGAATATCATTTCAACATTTGTTGTTAATAATATAATAATAATATTCTTTAAATATTTCATTTATAGTATTATATTAATAATATATCCTTATCATTT